ATTACCATTACCTATCTAAATCGCCACAAAAACTTGCATGGAGCTCCAATTCCTTCGCAGGAAAACTTTGCTGACAAACAGGACACTTTGCCTCTGGTGACTAAAAAGCAAGTAATGATGTAAAATACACATTATAAGAAGTCAGAATAATGTCAGTCCAAGCAACAAGGTAAATTACCTCTTCTTCAGTAACAGGAGGTAATTCAGGTGAATCAGGAGGTAAATCAGTCAGCTAGAAATAGACAAACCATTTTACATACATTTAACATCACACATTAATCTTAAAGAATAATCATGAAGTTTATTAAAAATCTTACCTCTGGTTCTGAGTCAGAAAGCGCCTCATATTCAGCAGTGTTGCATTCCTTTACATGCAGAGCAAGAATCTGTAGTGGCATAGATTTGAAGCATTTCTTACATTCTGCTTTTGGCATTTGAGAGAACTCCGGGGCATCAGATGGTAGAGGTGACAGGTCAAACTCATCTTGTAATGGAACAATGTACAACATTGTTTTCCCCCCTACAGTTGCACTTCTAATTGTGCTCCCACAGTAGCCTTCAGACTCCGGAGGAACTAGATTTAACCGCCTTCTACCCTGTCCACCTGAATAAATAAATATTATGAAATTGAAATGCCATCCAATTCCATTAAAACTGTATATGATGTAATTGTAAGTTTAAAACAGAAAAACACTGTCAGTGCTAATCTATTGAAATGCACAAAAATAAATGAAATGACATTCACAAAACTATCGGCACTGTGCAATAATGTAAAACTAGTTCCTGTTGTTAGTTTACAGATCATACCAGTTGCTTTGTAAAGAAGCCAGCCTCCAGATGCAGAGTTCATTTTTGGGTATGCATCACTGAACAAGCTAGAGACCTAAAAACCACATTTAACTCAAGATTAGAAAATAATTCTAACAAAGGTTTTTAGTCGTTGATAAAAAAGGAAGGCATAGCTGTTTAATAGAGGAATGGTGTGTATATACATCACCTCTGAATGTTTCAAGTCATCAGGCATGGTAAGATTCCGTTTTCCCAAGCCAGCTTGCAAAAGCTGCACCTCATCAGCTGGTGACGGGACCATGTCTGTATTTTTGTTTAACAGAAAAACTGAAAACACAAAGGGTTTCCATATTTTGTTGCACTTTGCTGGTCTACTACAGCTGGGTAGCCGTCTTTTCGAACCACGCTTAAAAAATCCAGGGAAAGACCTTTGAAAATAAAATTAGTATTGCATTATTTTTGGTTATATTAATGTGTTTATTTGGGAACACAAAGAACCTCAAAATGGCCCCTGACTAGTCAAGTCAAGTCAAGTCATCTTCATTTATATAGCGCTTTTAACAATGAATTGTTTCAAAGCAGCTTTACAGAGATAAACATATAATTTAAGGTAACAGATTTTTTTGGCGTTATAGCGGTAACATTAGGACTACTACCACTGCTCTAATTATAAGTGCTCAAATGTATTGTAAATACATGCTAAATACAATGTGGCTGTTTTGTCCATTGTCGTGATTGCAAAACTGAAACCTGGCCATATCTTGGTCCACTGTATGACTCTGCCCCGACTGCTGCTGACCCTGCCTTGTGCTGGTATTCCCGAGCGACTGGTTAAGGATTTCAATGATGTTTTGAACAGCTGCAGATGATGCAGCATCTGCACCAAGATTTCTGTCTTGCTGTAGAATAAAGACCAGTTTGATATATGCATTGTCTACATTGACAAGTCCTTGAACAGGGTATCCGCGGGTCCTTAAAAAGTCTTAAAAAGTCTTAAATTAGATTTTAAAAATTTATGGCCTTAAAAAGTCTTAAAAAGTCTTATTTTGACTTATGAAAGGTCTTAAATTTTCAATGGCAATTTGAGTTAGACATATCTAAATGTTTTCCAAATTAAAACTATCTAATTAGCGTACTTTTTTATTTATTATTCGTTCTTTGTGGATTTGCTCGTTCACGTGACATTTCGCGTCACATTCGCGCCAGCATTACGTCTGTCTCCTGCACGCGAAACAGCAGGAGAGGAGAAGAAAGCTGGTTAATTTCAGTTCAATTGTAAGTTCATTCTTTATGTGCGTAGTGGTGTGCGATGTGTATTGTCTATTATGATATTGTAATCATTGTTTTACTTTAACGTTAACTATGTACGAGGGCGCACTGCGAGCTGACATCGCATTTGTCTCTCATGCTTGCTTTCACTGCGTGATGTGTCAGTGCAGTTATAGGAATGTTCCCTAATAGACGTATAAAGTTTTTGTATTTTATATATCATATGTTGTTATCATACAATATTACATCAGCAAGAGGGCTGTTTTCCCGTGCACAATAGCAAATATGATATTTATTTTATATAACAGTTAAATTAACATTGTTACATTTTATAAACAATATTGTCAATATTGTTTGTTTTCCCTTTATTTCGCTGACGAGAATTTCAAAATGAAACCGTAGCAGAGTCTCAATGCAAAAGACAGCGATGATTTCTTGACTGAAATCCGCGTTTTGAACGTATCATTTTAACGATTCAATGAACAATCACTTGCAGTTCCTGAATGAATCAGCCGTTTGAACAAATCGTTTGAATGAATGACTCCCTGAGACAGTGACTTGCCGCCACCTACTGGCGGGTTTAGTTTCACATTTAAAAGTACCCTGTAATTAAAATGTTACAATTAGAAATCAGTTCATATTTAAATATTGAATTAAGAATTGAAAGAATTGAATATATCATAGCTTTATTTATGCAATTGTAAATGGAGTATAAATATATTAATGCCAGTTCTGATGCTGCTTCTGTGTCTCCTCTGCACTGCAAAGATGGATTTTGATTTAATGATTTAATTTAACTGGTAACAGTGGTATTGTGTTATTATTCTAATATAATTTAATTTGAATGTTACAATTTGACATAAAAGGTGATTCATACCTCGAAGTAAAAAAAAAAAAAAAAGTCCATATATGGGTGAAAATGCCCCTGGAACTCAATTTAAGGTTGCAAATATTGCCCTTTAATAAAAAAATGTTAATTCCTTTCACTGCTGTGAACTGACCACTGCATAGAATATGAAAAATATGAATATCTTCGTGAGTCAGCTGTCAACAACAGGCCTAAACCAGCCATGGTACCAGTACACAAACACAATCAGTAAAATATCATCTAATTATCATCAACAAAACTTTGAAAATATTGAGAAATTTTTTTTTCAATATTGCGCACCCCTAATGTAAGGTATTAATTTTGATTTCTTCAGGTCTTAAAAAGGTCTTAAAAAGCCTTAAATTTGACTTTAAAAAGTGTGCAGATACCCTGATTGAATATAATAACTGTGCAAAAGAGCAAACAATCAAGCTACAAAACATCATGATATGACATCAGTGCATTGCAAACTTGTGAATGACAATAATAACCCGCAACGAACTGTTGCACACTGCAACATTACATGGATAAAACTTGTATCAATGTTATTGGTTACTTCAGTGACACGAACTTACTACAAGCTGCCTTGAAGAGCAAGCTGAGGAGGAAGATGATGCCGCTCCGTGTCTCTCCTGAGAGCTCATCCTCACAGACTGAGACGAAGGAAGCCGACGGTCTCATATAATATTAAATTATATAATTGTAGGTCAAGTATTATTTACATATATTGTTAGTAATAGAACAAAGCACGAAGTATTGCGTAACTGAATGTCTAACCGTGAGAGCTTTCCAATGTGCGCGCCACTGAGTGACGTCTGTACTTCCGGGTCAGAGAGCGCCTGTCCATCAAAAGCTCACTTAGGGTTGCCAACTTTCTGAAATGGAAATAAGGAACGGGGGGGGGGGGGGGGGGGGGGTTTGGGTATGTGGTAGTGACCTTGACCTGAAATTCATACATTTTATATCATATTATAATGCAACTTATTAGGACAATATATTTAAAGAATAGCAAAGTAGGCTTAATCAATATACAAGACTTAACCACACAGATATATAAAGGCTATCATGATCATTTTGCCAAAAATGTTTAGATTATAATACGTTTTATTTATAACTTAAACAAATACAACATATAACATTCGAAACTCATCGGCTTAGACTGCATTTGAAGAAAAATAAACACAACAGTGTTCTAGCCTTGTGCGAACTTATTCAATAGAATTAGACTTCTAGAATGTTCTTTCCGGTGCAATTTAAAAAAAAAAAAAATGTTTTTAGTAGTTTTTCTTATCATAGCCTACAAATGTCTTCGGAAACACATTTTACTCGATTTACTGAAGCCTGTAAAATGCATTTGCAGCTGCACAGCTTGCACATTGAGCGTCTGGGGCTCGCTCAGGCTGCGCTGCGGCAACTGCACATCCAATGGCGCGGGCGCCTCTGACTTGCAACCAATGAGCCAACTATACGTCATTACACGTCAGAGCCCGTCAACGTGGCGCCAAGTCCCCGAATTTGCCATTATAGCAGCGGGTCTTCGTTCATTCATCATAGTCTGTCTGACATATATATTAGAAGTTATGCGTCTGTCATGGATTTGCACTGAATTGATTCTCAAAAATACGGAACAAAGTGCGTTCCGTATCAGTTCAATACGGAACAAGCCTTTTATGTGTCAAATACGGAACGATTCCGTATTATACGGAACGGTTGGCAACCCTAAGCTCACTATCCAATCAGAGTAGATCACTGTTAAGCCCACCCCCACGAGAGATTTGTCTCAAAACATCAAACGAAAAGCTCCGAAGCGTAAGCGAAATCTGTGGCAGCAAACGAAAAACTGAGAAGCGTGAACTAAATCTGTAGCTATGTATTCAGACTCCACGATTTGCGAAAACGAATCTTTGAAAACCAATAACAAAAAATGAAGCATATTTGAAGAGCCTGTTAAATTCGTGCGACTGAGTTAATTTTTTTTTATTTTAATTGTGTTTTTCTTCTTTTGTAATGGAATATTTTGATAGTTTCTGAAAAAGTTACGTTCAGTTTTATAAAGTTACGTTCATTATTATTGACACAAATGTCATTCCATACTTGTAAGGCTGTTTAACCAAAATTGAATTGGAAACCTGCATGTTAGTATATTGATTTATTTATTTTTCTGTTATGTTTCAGTGATCTGAAACATCTTGTTTAAATGACAGTTACTGTACTTTGAAATGTGGAATAAAAATGCCAATTGTAAATTTGTCTGGTTTGAGCAATCATTATTCTTGATAAACTGCATGCTATAAATAAAAAAATAAATTATATATATAGCCAGAATAAGCGGCGGCAGAGCGCTCGAAAATAGCGTTTGCCTCCGGCGGGCCGCGGAAGGATGGCCTTCAATATAAAGGCGGCGGAACGGAGGCGGTAGGAAGGCGGCTGCCGCCGGCGGTGCGCCGTCCAACGTGTTTGCGATGTCGCCATTCTGACGCTTCTACTGCCACCGGAGAACCGACGGTGGTCCGCCGACTCATTGCTATCTGGGAACTAGTAGCTACAATGTAAAGTATATACAACCATGAGACGCTTATTATGTGTCTTACCTTAAAAATCGTTCTCATAATCAAATCGTGTTCTTCTAATTCTTCTGAGGTTAATCCAAGGTGCACAGACCAAACACTTCCAAACTCGACGAAAAGCAGAGCAGGACTGAAGACGCTGATGCTTTGTTTAGAGGTGATGAGGGCGTTGGGTTCCTTCATGTGGATCATTTGAATTTGAACAGCTCGCGCGCGTGTGGGTGTGGTCACATTAGAGTCAATGAGCTCGGGCTGAAGAAACTGTACATGTCCTAGCTTTCATACGGATTACTTAAACAGAGAATATTTGTTTTTGGCATGATTTACATCATTTAAAAATGGAGACTTAAAGCTTTGTAAAGACATAACTCTCACGTGTGGGTGCAAGTATTTGCTGAGTTAAAGATCATTTTCTGTCACGTTTCAGAATGAACTTCACATTGAGAGAGACGACAGAACACGCATCATGTTTATTTTCTTTATTTTACGAAAAACACAACATTTTGTTTTTATTATTAGTGTACACAAATAAAAGTAGACATTTAACAGTTTTGAATGATGTATAACACTTGCCTGTATCACACAAATCAAAAGCGTTATTTGAGTCTCCTTTCCACTGATAAGAAAAAAAGTGAGCTGGTATCGCCGGCGAGACCGCCGACCCCAGGAGGTTAAAGACATGGATGAGCGAGTTTGGTTGGGAGGAACTTGACTGGCCCGCACGGAGTCCTGACCTCAGCCTGATAGAACA